TTTTGTTTGAAGTAGTAACAATAACACTGGTATTTTTAACAGTAGCAGATAAATAGTATTAGAATAAAGGTAACGTGAGAAGTCTGTAACTCACTGGGTAATCGAAGATGTTATTATAGGGATGAGCAGCGCGGCGATCGAGGTCATAATTACTCACAGTGAGGCCCTAACAACAATGTCGTGACGTTAAATGTGTTAATATTAGTGGGGTGAAGATGGTCGTTATTATCTTTATGGAGACAGTGTCATTATGTTCAATTAGAGTAATTTTCATTATTAAGCCTAATAAACGTAAACAGCTTCATCAGAATTCGAATAACCCGTAATTGAGCATACACACTGATTATAATAAAAATCGTTACTGTGTACCTCTACGGCATCGACAGACAAGGCTCAATATATGTTGTGGCTGATTATGTAGTGTTTGGGTTGCTCACTAGAAGGGTAATATCTTGAGTTTGGGAACAGATTAACGAGTTGTTTGGATATTTTGCGGGATGTAAAGCATTATTTAAGGCCAGTTTGTACGAAAATCCGTATCTAATTGCTTAGTGTAACAAGCAATATTATTGCTTCTGCGAATATGTAAACCGTCGTTTTGACCCCCCCCCCCTCTCTCTCTAGCGCACACACACACACACACACACGGACACACACACACACACACACGCACACACACACACACACACACACACACACACACACACACACACTAATCAATCAAAGCGACCTGTCAGGTCTTTCATTGCGTTACGTCATGATGAAACCGACTCTGTGATAGTGAGCTTTATGTTATATTGTGACGCATCATTAATTGAGGTTCTCGAAGTATGTAGCCCAGGATTAAGGAGCTGTTTACGCCCAAATCCGGGGCTAGACATCCGAACACATCAAAACGAAACTTGGCTGAGTTGCACGACGAAGGTGCAGATGGAAAGGAAATATCAAGTTCAAAGTCAAACCTCGCTCGCCATGAACATTTCTGCGCCCAATTTTTCGCAGTTAATGTGCGTGGACAATATTTGTTTACCTATGGCTTTTGTCTCTGTATCTATCTGCCCTTTTCCCATATTATTTTTCTGTCTCTCTGCATCTCTAGTTGTCATGCTGCCAATAATGCAAATGAATACTTAGGCAAACACATACATTTTCACACATATCAACACACACGCATGTACACACACGAGGAGAGAGAGAGAGAGAGAGAGAGAGAGAGAGAGAGAGAGAGAGAGAGAAATGTACAAACACATGCATTCTCACACATATCGATGCCTCTTTCCCTCTCTGTCCACAAACACACACACGTATGTATGTATGCATGTAGATATATGGCATGTATCTATATGCCAGTATGTTTAAACACGTTTTCACGAGCGTTAGTTGGTGAACTAGTAGTGATGAGTTTAATCACTTATCTCATAAAGTTACAGATCTGACCTAAATGATAACGGTAAAAATCATGATAATATGATAATTATAAAACAATGACAGTAATGATGATACTTCAGCTTCAAATTTCTATTAATATCAATACAAATGGTTATGATGAGACAATGACAACTACAATCATAATTACTACTATAACGATAATATCAACAATATTAGCGCGATGAGTTGTCGTCAAACTTCTTTCATTCCAACCGTATATAGTGGCTACTGCGAAGGTCTGTGACCGACTGAACAACTGAATATATAATGCAATACTGCTCGTTGACTTCGAATTAAGTGTTAACAGTTTGATAATCAAAATGTAATAACAAAATAATCATATATAAAGCAACGTGTGAATAAAATGGTAAGATCTATTTTACATCCGTATACTAGGAAGAGGAGGATAGAGGGAACTAGAGTACGGGACTCTACCGCGGATAAGAATATGTTTGGCGCATGATAAGGAAAGCCGACTCAGGGAACCTTCTGGGAATGACCAAGAAATAACTGCTTCTTTCTAGAATGCACTACTTACTGCGAGGAAGCATACACAGGGATAGCAGCCCTGAACATTATCATGCTGTTCGGTGTGTATATATTCTTACCACAGTTTTCGGATGCCGTACCCACATCTTAAATATTCGCCAAAAGTATTCAGAGTCTATCGGAAATAGGGATGAAAATCTTGACCACATGCCTCGACAGTCATATACGTTTTAACATGTTATCAAGTATGAAAACTTTTAGTTAACAGGATGATTTTATACTCTTCCTGCTTTATCCTTATTATTTTTTCATGACCTTAATTACGACCTGACATTTGAGATCATCGTTAGTCAACTTTGTTTATTTAACAGTATTGCTAACTTCCCAACCTTTGTTTATATATTAAATACGCTAAAATCAAACCAAAGCAAACCTAAAATAACTAAAATAACCCAAATTAGTTACATTTAGACCTTCTTGGTAGGTTCGTGCATACTTATCTTCATTATTTCAATGCAAAATGTATGTTTTGATTTAGTCGCAGTTTGTTACTAAGTGAGAATAATACACAAAAATCTGTCTTCAGGACCTGCTTCAGCATGTAAATCACGGCTTCATTACAATGATTACATTAAGATAGGTGGGCTGATTTGGTTAAGATACTTTAGGTTTTCTTTGGTTTGAATTTAGCACATTTTAATATACTAACAAAGGTTAGGAAGGTTACATACATACAACATCCAAACATTAAGTTTACGTGTGAAACAGAAAAGGAAAACAAACTTCCCTTTCTTGACACACTGACATCCAAAGAAAACGGACGCCTTTCTACTACAGTTTATAGAAAACCTATTTTCACTGGTTTGGGAATGGATTTTTGACGTTTTTTTTTTTACACAACTCTTACATCATAAACTATGATCATTCACAAAAATCCATACTGCTCCCAAAGAAACTAAGTACATAAAATTACCATATCTTGGATATGTAAGCCTCAATATTCGTAAGTAATTACGTGAGATATTAACCCATTCGCGCCGGGTGTCACCTATACGTGACGGGCCCACTTTGAGTTTACTTGTTTGATTGTTTACAAACATAGATGGCTCCACTTGCACTTGTGCTGCCTGTCTCGTCTGTTTACCCTTTTCTTTAATTTACGAAATTAATTTGCGTTATCTTATTTTCCTGTTACTAATGTTTATAACATTAGAGTAATTATAATGTTTATAATAAAAATAACCATCGATATTCATAGCACTAGTAAAAATACATTTTCCCGCCAAATGAAATCCGGTAAAGCAGAGCCATCTAGTGTAGAGAAATTTCATAAAAAAAATATAAAAAATGAACACAGCATTTCCCCCATTTTTTGTTCATTTTTACCCGGCGCGAATGGGTTAAAATAAATTTCAATTTAAATTTCAACATTGTTCTTGTTAACTCTTATAATATTAGATCTTCCATTTAAATATTGTATATTTTTTAATTGTCGTAGATGTAATACTAGGTATATTGGATCATCTACACGATGGTTCAAACATAGAATACTTGAACATATGAGTAAATCTAAAAAAAAAAAAAACTAGCCTGCCTTTGATCAGACCTTCTTTCTCAGCTGTCCGCCAGCATTCACACACATCTTATCATTTCAGAATCCCTGTACATCCACAAGATGAAACTCGATCTCAACAACAGTACAGCCATTTAATTGTTTACGGTGTAATGCAATTACCGTAACAGGCAGTTCTCACTAGTTTAGGTATGTCTCATCCTTTTATACATGTCTTTTATCTTTTATCAATGCTTCTGCCCTTTTCTTTTTGTTACATTCCGTTACCCATTTATTATTGTTTGTTTTAAGAACTATTTTTGGCGTTGTTTCTTTTTTCATTAGATAATGTTTTCATGTTCATTATTTCTAATCTGATGATTTGGATGTGATTCTTCGAAACGTTAGGTAATAATAAAGATATTCACCACAACCTTGGTTCTACTTTTCATTCTGCGTTTACGTTTTCCGAGCGGAAAATCAACGACAAAAATTACCATATATATGTGTACATTTGTATAGATATGTACACACACCCAAACACATATTTGTAAGTGTGTGTGTGTTGGTGCTGGTGCTGGTGCTTGTGTTTGTGTGTATGTGTGTGTGTGTGTGTGTTTGTGCTGGTGCTTGTGTTTGTGTGTGTGTGTGTGTGTGTGTGTGTGTGTGTGTGTGTGTGTGTGCGTGCGAGTTTGTGTGTGTTGTGATGAATTTCGTCAACAATTTTTAAATTACTGATAGGAAGTTTATAGGTCAGTAATTCTGATCGTTTGTGTCTCCTTTTTGTGTATTAAAATAATGGTTACATTTTCTAAGCTTCCGGAACTTTCCCTTTGACAAGGAATTTATAAAAATGATTAGCTACTTTCACTATTACAATTCACTGTTACAAGGCATATAATAATGCTGTCTTGAATTTTCATCTCGCCATGCCCTTAAACGCCCACCTTGTCACTCTGTCTCTGTCTACACGTACAAATATATATGTGTAGGTGTGGGTGCGTGTGTCCGTGTATGTATAAATATAAATATATATACACACAAACACACACACACACGCGCGCGCATAATATCCACATTTACATATATATATATATATATATATATATATATATATATATATATATATATATATATATATATTTGTGTGTGTGTATGTGTGTGTGGGTGTGTGTGTGTGTATGTGTGTGTGTGTGTGTGTTTTGATAGAGACACAAAAATACTAACTGTTTCAATGAACCTCATGTGATAGCCCAAATCTCAATATACCGCAAATGCATGTTATCGTACCTGGCTACATCGCAAATTCTTAAACACTGGGGATTACTTATGGATAAAAAAACGGAAATGTGTAATTCTGAACAATGAAATTAATTCTTGATCAATACAGAGACATCGCACTTATATAGTGTGTATATAAATAAAAGATTGGGTGAGCATTTCTTAAAAATCAAAACGGGGATCTTGAGTATCACTGTTCCAAGGGCAATACAGAGGGGCACGCCCTTAAGATTTATGATAAATTAAAAACTGCGTTCTGCCCATTCCCAGTGGAAAGCAACCCCACAACCGAGTCGAAACAACACAAACCATCATAACTTGAGATCGACACACACCAGTCACGATGCTACTTCATGGTTGTCCACACGATCCGCTTTCAGATCTTGTTGAGATAACGTCACCAGAAACACCTAATATGGTTGATTTTAAGTGACGACGTTCCATAGGAACAGTAATTTCCACACAGGCTTCGGTCCCTTGGTTTGACATGTGGGAGGCAGCGGTCGGTATCTTCTCGACTCCTCCCGGGTAAAACGTTTTGCCTGCATGGGAAGAGACTCCTCCTTTCTTTGACTTTTCAGAATCCTGTGTAAAGTAACCAGAGAAGTAAGATATTAAGTAACTATGAACAAGCTTAAATTTCATTTTTGTCTTGATTTCCATTTGAATCGGGCACGTCATAACAAGATCAAATAAGACTGCACACAAGCGGCCTATCAAAACTATTAACTTTTGGCAAGAAACGGGGACATTTTTTTATGTTTCCATTTGGTAAAGAACTTACACATTCTTTCATAACCAATTCGAAGCCTCTTGATGTTTGTTGTGCAGTTTATTGAATCGCGAACGAGACGAGTTTTTTTTTTTTTTTATCTTATTAACTTCGACGAAGAAAAAAACCAGTTGAGCGAAGAGAACCATCCTTGCGATCGAGGTGAAGTGCGTTGACTGAGCGTAGAGTGTGCTCTGTGTCGAGGTGTCTCCACATGGGCTTTAAGTACCTGCTCATGTGACGTCATACACTATATGTAATGGTTGACAAGTGACTTATATACCTGTATATAAGCATATATAAATAAATACATATATGTTTACAAGCTTATATATGCATACGTATTTACATACATGCACATACATAAACACACACACAAAAGCCCTCATTTACGCAAACAAGCTGGAGTTCAAAGGTGCCCGCAGTGGAATAATGAGTTGTGGGGAAAGAAAGTGTATATGTGTATATATATATATATATATACATATACATATATATATATATATATATATATATATATATATATATATATATATATATATATATACATATATATATATATATATATATATATATATATATATATATATATATATATATATACATACTTATACACACACACACACATACACAAGTATGTGTGTATATATATGTGTGTATATATATATATATATATATATATATATATATATATATATATATATATACATATATATATATATATATATATATATATATATATATATATACATATATATTTATTTATAATATATATATATATATATATATATATATATATATATATATATATATGTATGTGTGTGTGTGTGTATATATGTATGTATATATATATATATACATGTATATATATCCATCTATATATACATGAATATATATATATATATATATATATATATATATATATATATATATATATATATATAATAAGTATATTTATACACATCTGTAAATACGTAATATGTATGTATGTATGTATGTATGCATATGTATATATAAATATATATATATATATATATATATATATATATATATATATACATATATATATATATATATATATATATATATATATATATATATATATATATACGTATATTTATACACATGTGTAAATACGTATATATGTATGTATGTACGTATGTATATATGTATATATAAATATATATATATATATATATATATATATATATATATATATATATATATATATATGTATATATATATATAAATAAATACGTATATATGTATGTATGTACGTATGTATATATGTATATATAAATATATATATATATATATATATATATATATATATATATATATATATATATATATATACGTATATTTATACACATGTGTAAATACGTATATATGTATGTATGTACGTATGTATATATGTATATATATATATATATATATATATATATATATATATATATATATATATATATATATATATATATATGTATATTTATATATTTATATATTTCTGCATATACATACATACATACATACATACATAT